CTCACTCTCATTCCCAACTCACTCCCATTCCCATCCTGCTCTCATTCCCATTCTGCTCTCATTCCCACCCTGCTCCCATTCCCATCCTGCTCCCATTCCCAACTCACTCTCATTCCCTGCAGTCAGCAGGCACCCAGAGAAGCCAAGGGCAAAGGGAGAAGGGTCAATTTGAGATGCACCACGCAGGGTCCTGTCCCCCCTAGAAAAAGAGCTGTAGTTGAAGGATTTTGGGGAAAAATGGATATGGAATATACTGGGGAATAAAAAACAGTGCCCTGGAGGGATAGATGTCAGGAATTCCCAGTGCTGGCCTCTGGGATAGGTGTGTCCCTGGCTGGGTGTCCCAGCCCTGACAGAGCAGCAGATTTGCATCCTGACCTCCTTCCTCTGGTGCAGAAGATGAGCACCAGGAGTATTCAAAGGCAAGGAGGTCCCCAAGAGAAGCCCCAAACCAATGAGAGAAATATTTACAGTAGGATGGCTCTCATCATATGCACATAATATTAAATGCAATATTATTTTCTCTGACAAATCACAATGTCTTCCTGTTGTGTTTCCTGGATTACACATCACCAGTGTCCTGCCAGGACTGGCTGAGTGACAATATTCACAAAAAAAAATGGCAGGAGACACYAGATTTGTGTCATCAATAATGGGTGTCACTGTCCAGGCACACAGGAAAAACTCCATTTATGATCAGAAATACCAAACAGCAACACCAGGAGTCACAGGTCACGGCCGAGTCACAGCACAGGGACCCACAGAACGCACTCAGGGAAATCCTCAGGGAATAAACAAACACCTTYAAACACTGACAGCAGGACAGCAATGCCTCAACGCCCTCAGTGTCAGCAGAGCTGTGACAACGCATCAATCCCAGTCTGGAGAGGCCCAAAACACCCCAGGGATGTGGCTGGGATCTCCCCAGGTGCTTCCAGGTCGAGCTGGAGCTGAGGCAGGAAGGCTCTGTGCTCCTCAATCCCTCCGGGATCATTTTGGGTTTGGATGAAGGGATGATGCTTTGCCACTCAGCACACAGCTTCTCGTGAGTGGGCACTCCATTTCCCCCAGAAAACAGCTGTCTCTTAATCAGATTGCTTTAAAATGTTAAAATTGTTATTTCCAGGAGGAGGGCCCAGGCTGTGGGACACAAACACACCCCAATTATGGCACTGAGGGCTGGGTCCTGCTCTGCCAGCCCCTGCCAGCCCTGCTCCAGCTGTGTAATATTCAGTGTGCTGACACCTCATGGCCAAGCCAGAAACCCCGATAAGACACCCTGGGCATCACCCACACATCCTCCAAGACACCCTGGACATCACCCACACATCCTCCAGGACACCCTGGACATCACCCACACATCCTCCAAGACACCCTGGACATCACCCACACATCCTCCAGCTGCTCCCAGGCACCAAACCAGGCTCGTTTGTCCCGAGGTTTGTCATGAGCAGAACTGAATACACCAAAGATAGCAGGGAAAACCAGTCCAGAAATGCTGGGAGCTCTTGGATGGCGAAGAGGTGGGCACAGCAGGGGCTGCTGTCCGTGGCTGGGGTGCTCTGGGTGTTCCTGGTGCTGGAGGATGGCTCCAACACCCCTCTCCAACAGCACAGTCCACGGGCTGAGCCATCCAGGCAAGCTCTGCGCTCCCAGGCCTGGGAGAATCATCCGTGTCGGGGTCACCTCGCTGTCCCCTCCTCGGTGGGAGCATCCCAGGGGCAGATCAGCTCCTTGGCAGAATCCTCCCGAGCTCGGTGCTGACCATCCTCTCCCTCCTCGGGGCAGGCTGGGCTCTCTGCAGGCAYGGCCGATTTGACTTGGAAGAAGCTGCGTTGGGAAAAGAAACTCATCACCACTGCTCAAGCCCCAAATCCCAAAGCAGAACCCCCGGGGATGAGCCCAGGAGAGGGAGGATGGAGGGAATGAGCGCTGCCTCCTCTTTGGAGCCACCACGCCGTGCACAGAGCTCCGGAGCCAGGTGGAGCAGGAGCCCCCAGGTTTGTGCTTTGGAATTTATAATGTGGGCTCATCCACTCGGCCAGCAGCAGAGGTGAGTTCAACAGGATCAGGGATGTGCTGCTCCTCGGGAGGGACGTGGCCAAGGGGTGGTTTCTGCAGGGCCAGCCTTTCCAGGCAGAAATTCCCCATCTCACATGTCCTGCCCCAAAACGAGCAGCACCTCAGCACTCTCCCTCGAGATTTCTCCTCCCCTGTCAGTTCTGGGTCTCCTCTAGGTTGAGATCACTGAACCCAACCTGAACCAGTGCTGGAGAACACTGAGGTTTTCCAAACTCGGGCATTAAAAGTAAAACCTGGGGTTATGSACCCTGAAGAGGGGTGAGAACAGCAGAGGCACCAGCAGCTCTGCACGGGCTCCTGCCCTGTTCCCAGCAGAAAACACCTCCAGTGCGAGTGTGGGACACTGTGAGAGACATTTCCAGAGCCTGGGGCTGGGGCAAGTGCAGGAAAGGCGACTGTCAGGTGCTCAGGGTCCCCTCCCTCGGGCTAATCCCAACCCCAGCCGTGTGCAGGGTGTGTGTCCAGCTGTCTATGGACACAGTGCTCTCACCTGCTGACCACGCTGGTGTCCGGCCGCAGCCGCCGCTCCCTCCCGCCCAGCGGCTGGACCTTCCCGTGGGGCGACAGCCTGGCCAGGGTGGGTGAACTCCAGCAGCCCCTCCTGAGGAARCGGCCCCAGGAGCTCCTGCTGCCCCTCGGGACGGGGCTGGATGCCCGCGGGTCCGGCCGGGTGGTCACGGTGCTGGCCAGGGCCGGGCTGATGGGCGAGGGGCAGGCGGTGCCGTGGGGCAGGGCYGGGGGGCTGGGGGCTGCGGGAGGCAGGGTCAGGGGGGTGGTTGGTGGCCAGCCCGGGCTGCTGGGGCCAGTGTGGGCAGCTGGGCGAGGGCAGCAGGAGGCGAGGTGGCCTGGCTGTGGGAGGGAAGGGAGAGAGGCTCGGTCAGGTGCAGGGATGGTGTCCCTAAAGTGTCCCCTCCTCTGTGCTGGCAGGAGAGAAAGGCTCAGCTGGGAGGCAGCTCCTAGCCCAGGCTGGGCCAGTGTCCCCCTGTCCTGCAGCCCTGTCCCCATCCCTGCCCTCCCCCAGGGCACAGAGGTGTCACAGCCCCAGA